AGTTTGATAGAAAATAATTATTTGTTCAAGGTTAATTAGTTGTCCAATGGAATAAGTTACGCATGTGTGTCTCAATCTATATACTTTGGAGGCGCGTGTGAATGTGGGATTTTGTATTGATGTATTCTGATAAACGCTCGATATTTGTATAATTGGGACGTATACAGTTGTACATTTTAAGGACGACGACAAAAGAACGTAAATTGAATTACATACATGTACATTTTACTTAAGATACAAAAAATCTATCACTAGTAGAAATTAAACAAAGGAGCATATTTTCGATGGTATTTGAAGTGAAACAGATCATGACCTCGATATCGAGAAAAACATTTGCTATAAAAAAAAAATAATTATATGCAACTTTCATTTAATTCAGCAAATAAATTATTGAATGAAATGCACTAGCGACATAATCAGTCAAAGATACTATGAAATAATCTGAAAGATTCAACATATTAATTAAATTTATCCATTCTGTGGTTTCTTTTGTGTATATGACTGGGGGTCGCTGGATAACACGCCGATTGATTCCCGGTGACCGACTTTACCCCGCGTTATCGAGGGAGGCGCGTGATATAATCGTAAACAAACAAGGTGAACGTAAAAGGCGTGCACTTAATGGCTGTGAATAGTATATGCTTTACAGTTATGTTTTATTTTCTCACTATATTGTTTGTTTTTATATGATAAGAAGAAAAGATTATCTTTTCTTCCATTTTTAGTAGACTTGATTTATACGATTTAAAAAAAAATGAAATAAAAGGGAAAATTGTCAGTGAATAATCATGATAATTTGGGGGAAAACACAAAACACTTCAAGAACCTTATTCTAAAAAAATATTAGCATCTAATGTAGCCATGTTTATCATTTATAGTAAGTTTGTTTTGGTTTACACGCATGAGGAGCTCGCGTTTACGTGCTGAGTGAAAAGAATTACCTGTACATATATGGGTCATGTATCTAGCTCATTTAAAACAAGAGTCGAACAAAACAATTTCATGAGATAATAAGATGTTAAAGCAAACCTTCATAATCGACAGTCATTCCGAAATATTTACCTTTTTTGAGTTATAAAGCAAAAACTTTCAAGGGCCCTAGGTCCCTAATTTTAGGGGCCAGCCCCTTTTAAATGATATTAAATGAAAGCTCGTGCAATTATGCACAACTTTTATTCTACATGTCTTAACAAAATATTTTTAGTTTTCAAGATAAAAAGGAAAATATGTGTTAATTTTCGCTCTTTTAGGCGTTCTAATTTTTGACCCCTATATAGCGCCATTTTAAATACAGAAATCGAAAAACAAAAACCGATGTGCACAACTTCAATCCTTCTGTTATCTAAAACCAGTAAAATTTCTGCTCCAGCTTTTGTGGTCTCTGAGCCTTTGTCTGGAAATGAAAGCCTATAAATTTTCGTTTAAAGGGAAATTACTCAAAACCGGAAGTGACTTTTTGAAATTTTAGACAGCATTCTGATAGAGTTTATTATCGTCTATAATGTCTGAAAATTTGAGCAAAATCCATTGAGAAATGAGTGAGATATGAGGCCTCAAAGTTAGCGTCTAGGAAGAAAAAAAAAAAAAGAATAAGAACTAGAAAGTCTGCTATTGCAAGCAATAGCATATGTCGCCCCGTACTGGACAAAACTTTCATTTTTATCATCACTAAAACAAGGGTCCATTAGCTAAGCTTGGACAACCATCGAGTCGTATAAGTCCTTTTTGTTGGAAACGGAAGACCTTAATTGGGTACATCCCACTAATTATTTTTAGAATCGGTAGGAGAAGAAAGTAGTACAGGAAAAAATTACAAGTTCCTAAATTTGCAGACTTGCATAAAAGAAATTGAGCTGATGTACTTAAATGAGCCTTGTACTTGTTAATTGGCAGTATCTTTCCTACCAAAAAAAACTTGGCAAATGTAATTTATTAAGAAGATCAGCCGAATTATTTTGTGTATAATAGCGCCAGTGAGAACTCTGAAATTTCCTTACTTTCACTTTCATTTTTAGAGGTTCTGCCGGAAAACGAATCTGACATGACACCTTCAATTCCAGCATTTCTGCATTGCACATGGCTGATGTTTCTTATGAGATGATAAATCATGTGTAAACTTTCTCAGTTTAGCGGAATCATGAACATTTTCGGCGATATGAATGTTTTGTTTACAGTAGTGATCAAGGCTTTGCGCACCTGTAGGCGTGGATCCAAGGATTTATGAATGAATAAAAAGTATGGAAATAACGTACCAATTTTTCTATTTTATACTTGCACTATCTAATGAAATTAATAATATACAAGTAATAGATATGCATGTACAAAAAAAAAAAAAAACGCGAAATGCTAATAAATGCAGCTGACAATCGTTATTTTTTATATAGATAAAATAAACTAATTATAAAATCTAGAGACAAGACAGAAGAAGAATGGATGTTGGCAAACTATCAAATTACATCAGGAGAACTGAATTTTATGAATGAAACTTTTAAAAATTTACTTGTAAGGTGTATATGTTATATCTGTGTATTCTACCTGGCAGTGCGCTTCAAAAGGGGGGGGGGGGGGGTCGTCTTTAACATAGTACCTAATGTTTGAACGGTAAGGGCTAGGGCTTTCGTATTTCAAATATGCAATCCTTGTGAAATGAACTTTTATTGGACACGAAGAACTTTGACCCTTTGACCTAGACCTTGGAGAACACATGTGTACATCTTAACCTTTTTTTTCTGTTTCGTTTCTATGACAACTGTGAGCGACTCATTTCAATTATTTTAAAAGTAGAAATCACTTTGACACATTGCAAGGAATTAACATTGAAAGTTTCAAAACGATTGCTTGAGTAGTTATTGAGAAAATCGAAATTAAAGAATTTTAACATTCCCCTGGTTTCCATGGCAATAATCGATTATTTGAAAATTTTAAATGCAAAGCGCACAACTACAGATACTAATCATTAAAATAAAAAGAGTTTCATGACGAACGTTTAAGGGACCAGAGAGAACACTCGCGGACAAAATTCGTCGCTTTTTACAGGTTTCCATGGCAACGGTAGACATATTGGAACTGAACGACCTCACTGCACAACTACAACCAGTGATCGTCCTTTGGGGAAAATTTCAGGAAGATTGTCCCAGCCATCTCCGAGAAACAGCCTGGATAAAAAAAACATGCGTACAATATCAATATGTCGTCCCCGACTTCGTTCGGGGCGACATAATAACTCCCGAATTTTTCCCATCAATAACTCCTGAATTTTCCCCTTCAATTCCAGCATTTCTGCATTGCACAGGGCTGATGTTTCTTATGAGATGATAAATCATGTGTAAACTTTCTCAGTTTAGCGGAATCATGAACATTTTCGGCGATATGAATGTTTTGTTTACAGTAGTGATCAAGGCTTTGCGCACCTGTAGGCGTGGATCCAAGGATTTATGAATGAATAAAAAGTATGGAAATAACGTACCAATTTTTCTATTTTATACTTGCACTATCTAATGAAATTAATAATATACAAGTAATAGATATGCATGTACAAAAAAAAAAAAAAACGCGAAATGCTAATAAATGCAGCTGACAATCGTTATTTTTTATATAGATAAAATAAACTAATTATAAAATCTAGAGACAAGACAGAAGAAGAATGGATGTTGGCAAACTATCAAATTACATCAGGAGAACTGAATTTTATGAATGAAACTTTTAAAAATTTACTTGTAAGGTGTATATGTTATATCTGTGTATTCTACCTGGCAGTGCGCTTCAAAAGGGGGGGGGGGGGTCGTCTTGAACATAGTACCTAATGTTTGAACGGTAAGGGCTAGGGCTTTCGTATTTCAAATATGCAATCCTTGTGAAATGAACTTTTATTGGACACGAAGAACTTTGACCCTTTGACCTAGACCTTGGAGAACACATGTGTACATCTTAACCTTTTTTTCTGTTTCGTTTCTATGACAACTGTGAGCGACTCATTTCAATTATTTTAAAAGTAGAAATCACTTTGACACATTGCAAGGAATTAACATTGAAAGTTTCAAAACGATTGCTTGAGTAGTTATTGAGAAAATCGAAATTAAAGAATTTTAACATTCCCCTGGTTTCCATGGCAATAATCGATTATTTGAAAATTTTAAATGCAAAGCGCACAACTACAGATACTAATCATTAAAATAAAAAGAGTTTCATGACGAACGTTTAAGGGACCAGAGAGAACACTCGCGGACAAAATTCGTCGCTTTTTACAGGTTTCCATGGCAACGGTAGACATATTGGAACTGAACGACCTCACTGCACAACTACAACCAGTGATCGTCCTTTGGGGAAAATTTCAGGAAGATTGTCCCAGCCATCTCCGAGAAACAGCCTGGATAAAAAAAACATGCGTACAATATCAATATGTCGTCCCCGACTTCGTTCGGGGCGACATAATAATCTTAATCATCAGAATCAGTAGAAGGTCTTCCGTTGGAAACGGAAGACCTTAATTAATCCCTTGGGATTAATTATCAGCCTGCTGTGGAAAATTTAGTAAACTTTTCTTTATCTGTCACTTTAAGATTAATGAAAACCTTTGTCTGCAACTGCTGTTTGTTTGAAGTTAATGATATTTGCATTCATTGAAGGCTGGCATTTTATATTAGATAAGCTTCATTATTGTTTAAATATATATTCAATGTTAAGTTGTTCTTATTTGCCTAATGTAAATACAAGGATATTATTTACAGGTTTTTGAATATTCAGGAATTATCTTGAAATTTTAAGAGTACAGTTGCTGTTGCTTATTCTTCGTACATTTTTTAATCATTCCGTAAGCTGCACCCTCATAATTCTATCCCATGGCGGGGCCCTTGCTGACTGGTCAGTTTTCTAGTTTCTTTAAGCATAGCTTTATTTTTAATCACATAACTTGTATTCATTAAATACAATTTTATGATTTCATTGAGTTTTCATTAGTTTTGCATAAATTTTTAAGTGAAATAACTTTTTCATTCATACAGGAATTGCCATGTAGCACAGCATTCAAGGGTTGGATAGGAATTGATTCTACGTATGATTTAAATGGATTGATGACGGACCATTGGAAGAGAGTAATGGAGAGACATCTATTTACTGACAGAGTTCAGAAGAATTACAGAGGAACCAATAGAAAGAACAAGTGGCTAGAGGTAAACTCAGAAAGGAGATCTGATAAGAACCAAGCCAACAAACAATTCCCTCGCCCCTCTTTATAGGCAGGAAAGCTGCAGTTTTTGTTTAAAAATGGTTTTTTGTTCATAGACACTAAAACTACCATAATCAAAGCATGTGTACTTGACTCAGTTTAATCTTTGCAAAAGGAAAAGAGCAGAAATATTTTGTATGAAAATGTCAGAAATTGTTAAGATTTTGCATTGTCTATGTATGTATGCCTTGGCCTATGATGCAGTGATAGTATTACGAGGGTTGTCCCAAAAAGTCGTAGACAGGGAAAACAGTTTAGTTTCTCTTTGCTTAATTAATTTTTAGCTCTACTGGTCAGAGATCAGAAGAGCTTATGCGATAGTAAGGTGTCCGTCGTCCGTCCATCTGTCTGTCTGTGTGTCTGTCCGTCTGTCTGTAAACAATTTTTCAAAACGCTACTCCTCCTACAGTTTTGGTCTGATTTTAATATAACTTGGCACACAAGTAGACTATACTAAGATACATAAAATAGTGCATCGGTATTTGATTTCAATTAACGGTGTTACCATGGTTACTAAAAATAGAATTTTCGGTGAAATTCCTTTAAAACGCTACTCCTCCTACAGTTTTGATCTGATTGTAATATAACTTGGCACACAAGTAGACTACACTAAAATACATAAAATAGTGCATTTGTTTTTGATTTCGATGAACGGTTTTGCCATGGTTACTAAAAATAGAATTTTGTGTAAAATTCCTTTAAAATGCTACTCCACCTACAGTTTTGATCTGATTTCAATATAACTTGACACACAAGTAGACTACACTAAATCACATAAAATAGTGCATTGGTTTTTGATTTCGATGAATGGTGTTGCCATGGTTACTAAAAATAGAAATTTCTGTGAAATTCTTTCAAAATGCTACTCCTCCTACAGTTTTGGTTTGATTTCAATATAACTTGACACACAAGTAGACTACACTAAGATACATAGAATAGTGCATCGGTTTTTGATTTCGATGAACGGTGTTGCCATGGTTACTAAAAATAAAATTTTGTGTGAAATTCCTTTAAAACGCTATTCCTCCTACAGTTTTGATCTGATTTCAATATAACTTGACACACAAGTAAACTACACTAAAATACATAAAATAGTGCATCGGTTTTTGATTTCGATGAACGGTGTTGCCATGGTTACTAAAAATAGAATTTTGTGTAAAATTTCTTTAAAACGCTACTCCTCCTACAGTTTTGGTCTGATTTCAATATAACTTGGCACACAATTTAGTAGACTACACTTAGATACATAAAATAGTGCATCGGTTTTTGATTTCGATGAACGGTGTAGCCATTGTTACTAAAAATAGAAATGCCTGTGAAATTCCTTTAAAACGCTACTCCTTCTACAGTTTTGGTCTGATGGCAATGGCTTCTTTCCTCATCCTTTGTTGTAAGTACAAACCAGTAGAGCTACAGTCTCGACAGAGACTTCTGGTTTTTCCTTGTCATAGCGAAAATTAACATTTTATGATCATGCATTTCAAGTTTCATGATGATATCACATCTAATAAGAAAATTATGTAAAAATAAAGAAAGAATATAAGTGTACAGCGCACGATAGCAAGCGTAAATTAAGTCTCTTATAACGTCATGATCTCTTTGTCTGCCTCACTCACGTCTCTTAACATTCAATATATTTTTTAAAGTGATAGACCACTCTTGACTAAGGGACTTATTCAAATTCACTACTGTCCGTTTGTTTTTTATTTGTTTTTTTTTTTTTAAATCAGATTCAAATTTCAGTCGAAATTTAGTAGAAAGATCGCATTACATTGTAGGCAGCAGAGAATACACATTTTTTGATGTCGTTCGCGATCAAGATTGTTCCCAATTGTCTGCGTTTAACAAAAAGTACTCTACTTATCATACTTGCCAACTCACCCGATTTCGTCGGGTCACACCCGATTTTTCAACCCGTAACCCGATTATTTTTTATGACCCGGCGGGTCATGCTTATCAACCGATTTTTGTCAAACAACCCGGAAATCTCCCGATTTCCGGATTTGGTTCGTAAATTAGGTTGCACTTTTAACTTCCAGTTAAAACCCAAGCTTAGATCTACGCGTAAACAATGCCGATGGATTAATTATCAGTGCAGGTGTAAACAGTTAACTGGGTGTTTTGACAATTCAATGTTTGAAGTCAATTAAAATGGCTTCCGATAGAACTAGATCGTTATCAGGGCCAACAGGAACAAATTGAACCAAACACATGTCTCTGATTGAACCAAGAAAAAGAGAAACGATATTTATGTACATATCTAGGAATCTTGGAGAAAAAAACTTTCATTCTAGATAAATAAAGTGATCGAAGACAGTGTAGGCCTAACTTCACATTTAAAACATATTACAGTAGTTAGAGAGGAAAAATAACTTCAAAACTGAAATTTGTATACTTTCAAATTTAGCAGAAACTGAAACATGTGAAAAGGCTTAAAAAAAAAAAAATCACACTTACCAGGTATATACTTCTGAATCAGGTCAATATTGAAATATGAAACCTTCAATTCTCATTTTTAACATGTAAATTAAATCAAATTATATTTGAATTTTTTTGTCATAGTAAATTAAATCCTTTTTCAATAAAAGAATTCTCAATACACAAATACTTTGTATATATATTATAAAATTTAATCATGGTAATTATGTCGTGAATGTTGTTACGCGTTATGACCAGATTTTTTACTTTCCAAATCTGCTCATGACCAGATTTTTACATGCTGGAGGTTGGCAAGTATGCTACTTATTACACCCCGAAAATATTTTCACTGAGTATCGTGCCAATTGAAAATAACTTCTTTATTAAAATTTGGTGTGTAATGTCGCTTCTTTACTATTTTTTCCAGTCTCTGATGTATATAAACCATAACAAACACAATTTATTACATCTCCGTGCGCCGGCTACGCGTTTGACGACGTCATTTTCATTAAACTCAATTCTGACGATACTATGAAAATCATAACACCAATCGTCTGTTTCCAAAGCAATTTATATGATATTTTGAGATATTATTAAGATTTTGATTCTGGTTTCAGTGATTTAAATTTTAAGTTAAGTGTATTATATAGTACTAAAGAAATAAAAGCAAATGTGATAGTTATATGCAAAAATTATTCAGAATTTTGTTAGTGCGCCGACAGGCCTTATCGGCCTTCATATAAATGGCCTTAATATCATTAATATGAAAGATATAAATTTAAAAATTCACGATTTTAAAGAACATTAAATATTTTATGTCAATGCAAAATTTGGTTAGAATTGGTTGCGTACTTTAAAAATTATAAGCATTGTCTACGACTTTTTGGGACAACCCTCGTACTGATTATAAACTATATGTGTGACCTTTTTCAGGTGTAGTTGGCTATGTATGCCTTGGCCTATGATTCAGTGATGGTATTACTGATTATAAACTATGTGTGTGACTAATTTCAGGTGTTGGCTGTGTATGCCTTGGCCTAAGATGCATATGGTATTACTGATTATAAACTATGTATGTGACTTATTTCAGGTGTTGGCTATGTATGCCTTGGCCTATGATGCAGTGATTGTCTACAGTGAAGCTTTGACGGATCTGATGCAGAAGAACGAGACCATCACCCCAGACAAGCTAGTCAAGCAAATCAGAAATGTATTGTCCAATTTTTCTCCATTTCTCCTCTCTATATGAATTCATATGTTTTAGATAATTAAAAAATATATACAGGTAAACTTCGGTATCTTGACATCGGATATATCAACAACCTCTGATACATGTATGTCGACGTCCGTCCGCGGTCCCGGCATTATTTACTATATAAATGATTTGCATAAACTCCGATACGTTGATCTTGGTGATGTCGACTACCTGTTTATCTTGACGTATGATGTACAAGTAACAGTAAGTGGCATAATGCGCCGTTCTTTTGTTTTTATAGAAAGTTGCACGGAATACCTGATTTCCCGGATTTAACGATACCCTTATATCGGGTATTATACGCGATTTCACAGATAATACCTGATTTTGAGTATTTTCTCCAACCTGTTAAAGGAAACAATTGATCTATCTACATATAAATTGATTAGTGTTATGCATTTGAATACATATCTATTATCATAACAGTAACTTGATCCAAAGGGTCGTATCACATCGAGTTGACAGGCCCCAATCTTCAAACCAAATGAGACGCGAAGCATCGAGTTGGATCAGATGATCTGCACATGTCAACTCGACGTGATAAGACCCTTTGGAACAAGTCACTGTTATAATGATATACCGGTATTTATTATATACCCCCTTATAACTTGCTAAATATAGCAAAATAAAATTTTAATGAATTATATAATATTTATGCATTTAAACAAAGCATAATGACAAGGGACTCTTTAGGGATGGGTATCGCCAAAAATTTCGTATCGCGATATATCTCGATTTTTTCCCACAATATCACGATAATATCATGATATTTTTAAAAGCAGTTTTTACAATGATTTTATATGAAAAGTCATTATTTTTCTAAAAAATATGCTAGAAAAACAAAATTTTACTTTCTTGAAATTTTTATGTATATAAAATCAATTATGTTTGGACGGTAAGATGCCGTTCTTTTCACTTTTTATAACATTTTTGATATTTTCTGTAATTGTAATTTGAAAGATTGAACAAATAAATGAATTATTTCTGGACTTTATAATATGTACCTAAAGACCGGTATTTAGGTCTCTGTATCACGATACGTATCACGCAACAAAAAATCGCGATATACCGGTATACCGATAAAATCGCACATCCCTAGGACTCTTTAACATGCAAGAAAAATAACGTCATGTTTTTGCATACTATGTCATCAGTTTCAGAGAGGGGTAATATGGATTCAGAAAAGTACAGTGTGGTGATCCGGAAGGTCGGATCACGACGTCACGTGATAGTGTAAAATCAACAGTAAAACTGTGTGATACACATTAGGTATATAATAAAGAACTGTATTATTTTTGTCATAGATGGAAATGGATGGATTAACAGGGCACATTAAATTTGAGAACGAGACAGGTGATCGGCCCGGCTTTCGTGGATTTATGTGTGTGGTCAATCCTCATCCATTAGGAACACACTCAGCTTCACATGTAAGTTGACACCTTAAATTTTATCTTCACACTTATACCAAAGGTAAAATGCTTTTTCTTTGGACCTTGGCAATAAGCTGTTGTCTCGGATATCAGTTTAACACAAACAAGAGTCATTCATCTTTCATATTGCTTGACTTTATGCACACATTTTCTTCAATTTAACATTATGATAATTCCTAAAAGCTTATTCAAATTTTTGTGATCAATGTTGAAATTTCATTTTAGACAGCAGTATTTGCAAGAGCTTTCATTCTGGAAAACACAGCTGCAACCACCCAATTGGAAATAGCAATGGAAGCCAAGAGACCTTTGAGTCTTCCGCCTTTTAATCATATAGTTGCCAATTACACAACACCGGAGTCACCATTCATGAACAAATTCAGGTTAGTCATTTTGCAAAATTAATTATGGGAGGAGAGAGTTTCCAGTTAAAATTGCTGCCTTATCCCCACATGTTTGTGTTTTTGACAGGTACAATACCTCCACGGGGATGATAAGTGCCTTCACACAACAGATTATTCCCATCCCCCCTTCCACCGCTCCCCCTCAGGACGTAGTAGAGGAGGAGTATACGATAGCCCCATTCTATTGTTCTGGTGGATGTGGAGGAAATGCCACAGATGAATATGATGTCACCAAGTATCAGTTTGGAGAATGTATTTCTATGGAAAAATGCAAGTAAGTCTCTTGTACAGGCTATCAAGTTTCTTGCTGGAAAATTGCTTTATGCAGCAACTTGATATCTGTTTTTCTTTTTCAGTGGTGACTATTATTTTTTGAAAACAATTTCAGTATGAAGCATCTAAAGGATGAAAGAAATTACATGACTTTTTATAAAAATATGTATCAAAATGCTCGAAATGTTTGCATAAGAAGTAAGTGTATACACAGAAATTATTTGTTTTATCTTTATTATATAGTCATTATTATATAGTCTATTTATATTCCCTATATATTAAATCTATACAAGTGCAAACAGTTCATAAGACTACATATTCACCATCTTAAGACTATATTCACCCGGGGTCAGTGTGTGTGCAGCGGCATTGTCGCGTCATAATCAAAACCTGAAATGGCATTGTAAACCATGGTTGCAAAGGCTGCAGCCAGCTTAGTATCTGTGCAGGAATAAAGCTATCATAGGATAATTTTGAAACATTTGGACGTCTTACACATAGAGAAACTTGAAGGGAAAACAGGGAGGTTACAAATTGTAATCTTGACATTTAAAAAAAAAAAAAAAAAAAAAAAAATTAAATTTCATGAAGGAAATTCATAAATGAAAATAATCTCATCATGCAGCCTTCAATGTCTAATTTATCTGGATTATATAATAAAACAATTATGGACTCTTTTAGTGTTAACCAGTTGTTCACCCAAAAAATATCAATATTAACCCCGGCTTCACCTCGGTCAACTAAATTGAAATTTTCTGGTGAATAGCAAACTATATTCAACATCAAATGAGTCTATAATTGTATAATATCCATTGTTTTACTGAGGGTTTTAAATAAATGGAAGTGGGACTGCAGAATGAGATATTAAGGTACAGTACAGGCAACGCGGATCCCGTATTAGACCGCGTCCCCTCCGCGGTGTATTAATCCTTTCCGCGTTACACCGTCGCGGGTTTTGATCGCGGTGCTACCTGAGACCGTGTTTACACCGCGGCGGGGCCAGCTACCGTTATTCTTCAGCTAAGATGTTCTTACCTGTAAAGTATTGTCGATTTTTAATCGTGTCGAAATGGGGGGGGGGGTTAAGAGCACATTGATATTATAGATTTATACCATTACATGGATTCTTTAAAAATTCATTTTTTAAGTTTTATCAAATTGTTTGAAAAAACATTTTTTTTTTGTACCAATAGTCACTCAAAATTAATTAATTCTCAAACACGTCTGTTAACAGTAATACATGTACAGTATTAGGATGAAATATTCAAAGTCGAATAATTTATCGAATATATTAACTTAAAGTTTATTTTCAAAATCAATAATGCCACCCCAAATGATCTTCAAATTGCTAAAAAGGTATAATTAAAATTTAAAGAATGCAATGATATCGCTTCTCTTTATATGCACTGGTGTAATCCGGTGTTCACAATTAGCCCGTGCAGTTGCAGTTACATGTAGCTATGTGTTTATTTATCTGTGAGATTATATCAGTCATTTGGTTTCAATTAGAAAACTACCGTTACTTCTGTATACATATCTATTATAAATAATAGCATGAACAACGATGATAGATAGTGATACATAATTGCAATTAAATTTTAACAAAACACGCGTAAGTGTAGGAATACCGTTGTTCCATTATTATGCGCTACACTGTAAGACTATGAACTAAATATCGACGATTTTTATTATTGGGGGGGGGGGGGGGTTATTGTTAATAAAATAATCACAGGTCATTCTATTCAGAATATCAATAATATCATAGCTAGTATTTGAATGTATTTCAGTCTATTTTCTGCTCTTTTCGAAAATTACTAAAATCATGTCAATGAACATAAACAAAATTCAGATTTCTCCGGTTCAAATAAAACACAAACACAAATATGGGCCCTTAAAATATTTGAACACACAACACAGAAATTAACTTATTTTAATCAGCAAGTTGCCAAGCTTCAAGTTTTCAGATGTCTGTGTTACCGTTCGGTTTTCCTCAGGTAAGTTTGGTGTGGAGTGGAGCTTACTCGAAGCGGATGAGAAACCCCGAGGGAACGACGCTGTCTAGTGTACATACTACCTATATACACAGGATGTTACCTGATTGTATTACCTGTATGCATTTTGCTACGACATTGTAAAACGAAGCCGTTTTTTTTCATGTGTAGCTCATAGATTGAAATGCATGAAATAAAGAATTCAATGTTTTTGTTGCAGACAAAATCCTTTTTAAATTTTTTGTTTCAAGTAAATATTTTCAATAATTCGACAACTTTAATATACTGTGTTTTTCTTAATCAAATTTTATAACAAAAATACATTTTTTTTAACCACCAAAATCTGTCGTTGTAATCTGGCGACAAAAAGGGAAGTAATTCAAATTACATATTATGTACATATGCTAAACGAAAGAAGAAAGTGGATCATAAACAAGTCTCTCGATAAATAACAATAAAACTTAGACAAAATCCACAAATGGTCAATAAACTGATAAATCAATTGTAGTTTTATTCGCTAGACTTAAGAAATTGATATACTGATCAAAAAGGAGGAAAAACGATCATGCACGTGCCTTAATATTGTGATATTTTTCTTCTCTCTCTCTCTCTCTATCTCTCTCTCTCTCTCTCTGTCTATCTACTAACTGGTACAGATATAAACAGACACGAAATAACATAGCAATGGATCATTATTTGATTTAATTAATATCAAATACTTCATTAATTTGTTTTAAAAGTTTTTTTTTTTCTTTTTACTTTTATTCTTTTTATACACTCCGTTTAAAAAAAGCAACAATAATTTGACACAAATTCCAAGGCTAATATCGCATCTAAAAATGATACAATAAATCAATTGTGTTGTTGAATGGCTAGACAACGATGTGCATCCAGCGAGCGTTACCCAAGGTATACTCTAAGACAGGTGTGAAACCCCCAGGGCATGTCGTTTCCTGTTCAGGCACTGCTAATCCCTATACACAGGAAATGATTGCGGCTAATGCTTAATACACAAAGAAACAGAATTTGTCAAAGAAAACAAAAATATATGAATTTTTGCATTGAATATTTATTAATATAAACTATAATTTCGTCAGTGAAGTTTATCATTACACCGGCACATCCTATCTTATCTATTGAACACGAAAATCGAGAAATATTAAAATTAAAAAGAAAGACATTGTTTTAAAAAGTAATACATGTTAATATGAAGGTGAAAAACGATATTTTTTCTTGATCTCTTCACTTGTATAAAGTTCGCGTGCTCAAAGTTAACTCTCGCCATCGAATGCTTTTCGGTCATTTGACAATTTGAGAAAAATGCCTGCACATTTATATAAAAGAGGGAAATAAATTAAAGAAAAGTTTTCTTAATTTGGGAACAGAACATAAACGATGAGAAATAAAGAAGAAAAGAACTTTTTTTTCTTGACATCTTGGATAAAGAAAATTTAAGTTCACGTGCCCACTACATGTAACTGCAAAATTAATGCTCGTCATCGGATGTTTTCCGGTAATTTGACACTTTAAGAAAAAGCCTGTACATTTTATATACAATAAATCGAAATTAATTAATAAACAATATGAAGATGTACATTTTTTAAAAGATGTACATCTTTTTTTTTCAAATGAATGCTGAAAATCGTTTATCGAAACTTAAACAGTCTGAGTTCAACATTTATTACAGTTTGCATATAATATGAAGATTTAAAAAAAAAACTAATTAAAATTTCTAGTATCTAATTTTGTTTCTTGATAGATTCTTAATAACACAAAATAATTAACCATTGCAAAGACGTAACAATTTAATAAAATTTTCTATTCAATCAATTTCAAATATTGATATGTAATTTTAGAAACAAAAATAAACTTATTTTTTCTTAGTTTAAATTCTACTCATAGCAAAATTAATTAATAAACACACGTAATTTTTTTTTTTTTTTTTTTTTTTTTTTTTTTTTTTTTTTTTTTTTGGTTACAGGGAAAATTCGCAAATTACAATTCGGGGAGATAACTCCCGTTTGTTTACGATACTATTTGTCCGTAATTGATCGATGATTTAACCGCGGCGGGGACAGGTAAGTGATGAATTTCCCGCGGAGGGAACGCGGTTTACCTGTCTACCTGGCCAAATACCGCGTTGTGATTATACCGCGGCGGGGACGCGGGAAATACGGGATCCGCGTTGCCTGTACTGTAGGACAAAACACCGGTGGATTTTATTTTTAACCCATTTCTTAAAAAGTATTGGAGAAAAAAGAATAATAGTACTATATTGACAGCAATGAATGATCCCTTTAAGAAAAATAATAAGTTTTGGCATGTTTGCGTCATATTTTGTGAAAAAATCAGAGAATCCTAGATACTGGGTCACTTAGGAGCTTACATTTTGGAATGTGTTTACGCTCTCTAAGTGCAATAAACAAGCATGTAACAGTCTGTTATAAAATACAGTATAACTTTTGTTCCATAAATAGCAGAGGGCTGATATTTGGACACATATATTAGGAGTCTCCATTCTTTATGTACTACAAAGGTCAAGGTCACATCAAGAGGTCAAAGGTCATATATTGTGACGTCATCTACTGAATCTTTTAATTTTTTGTCATTAAAATTTTTTAAATAGCTAAAATATCTGAAACCACCGGTTCAATTTTCTTTATTTTTACACATTTTGTTCTAAGATCCATTTGAATCATTCTGTTGATTTTTTGTAAAAATTGAATTATACATTTTCTTTTAAGAAAACTTAAACTGTCGGATATTTACATGTGAATTTTCAATTCCGACGCTATGTATGTTTTAGTTCTACTTGATATTTTTACTCAAATTTCCCAGTATCAATATTACTTACTGATTTAAAGAAACAAAAAGGTTATCTTTATTAAAAGTATTACACAAATATGCAATAGATCAATTGATAATTCTAAAATAAGGCTAATTCTCAAGTCGAATGTCTGATTTCACAATCTTCTTACAGGGGTCTGATAGGCCATATTTCAGACTATGTGGGCAAAAAATGTGTGGTTGAATTTCTTTCATATCATATATAAAGAGAGACTTTGTATCCTAGAACAAAATATCAAAGTTTCAGAAAAATTGAATTTGAGGAAAAATTTGGCCTATCTATTGGGTCCTACCTTAAACATGTAGATGAGATATTTTTAAAAGTCCCTGGATCGAAAGATCCTGGGGGTATATTGTTTTTGTCCTGTCTGTCTGTTTGTCTATCTATTCATCTCTCTGTCTGTATGTTGCCAACTTTAACCTAGACATTAACTATGGAGTTGGTGGGGTTATGACTTACATATTTCACAGGTGTTTTCCTTGTGACAAGACCTTGCCATGGGTACCACCAAATTTGACCTCTTGACGTTGGAGTTTGACCTATTTTTACCAAAAAAAATACCACACTTTAACCTTGGCCATAACTTTTGAACAGTTGGAGCTAGAGCTTTCATCCTTCACATGTGTATTCATTGTAACAAGACATTTTACCTGGTATAAATATTTTTGACCTTGATCTAAGAGTTTGACCCACTTTTTAAAATTTTAATCTTGGTCATAATTTTTGAACAGTTAGAAATAGGGCTTTCATATTTTACAAGTGTATTTCTTGTAAGAAGATCTTCCTTTGGGTACCAACACTTTTGACCTTGACCTTTGGAGTTTGAAATACATTTTAGAGGATTGAACCCTTGCCATAAGCTGCCATACAGGGACATCACTGTTTCACAAACACATTTTGTTTTACCATACACTTTGAAAATATTGCATAGTTAACAAGATGTGTTTGTGAAACACTATGCGCCCGGTGGCAACAAAGTTCGGAAAAAGCTTTTTTTTAGCATTAAGGTCACAGTCAAGGTTACAAGGTCATTGACCTTGGTGTCATTTGAAAGAGCTTAATTAGTGGAGTACATGCATACCAAATATGAAGTCTCTATCTTTCATGGTTCAAAAGTTATGGCGAAGGTTAAAGTTTGCAGAAAAAAGCTATTTTTAGCATATAGGCCACAGTCAAGGTCACAAGGTCATTGACCTTGGTGTTATTTGAAAGAGCTTAATTAGTGGAGTATGCATACCAAATATGAAGCCTCTATCTTTCATGGTTCAAAAGTTATGGTGAAGGTTAAAGTTCGGGACAAACAGACAGACAGACAGACAGGACAAAAACAATATACGCCCTGGATCTATCGATCCGGGCGCATAAAAATATCACAATGTATAGCATTGGGAAATTTCAAGACGATACCCAGCCCTATTATGTTGTCCCTTATTTTAGGTGTAATGATGGGTATTATGTTGCCCATTATTTTAGGTGTAATGATGGGTATTATGTTGCCCATTATTTTTGGTGTAATGATCAGTATTATGTTGCCCATTATTTTAGGTGTAATGATGGGTATTATGGAGATAACTGTGAGAAGATGCTGTGTACTTGTTTGAATGGCTTCTGTTCAGTTCCTAAGAACTGTACTTGTGACTCAGGCTGGTACGGAGATCGATGTCAACATGCCATTTGTAGGTACGTCATAAATTTTTATATATTACAAAGCAGAAATGTGCAATGGAATGTATTCTTCCTTCTCTTTTATTTTTGACTCACCTAAACTGAAACGTCTGATGTAGTATTTGAAGCATCTATGATGTTTTATATTTGTTAGTTCCTGTGTCAATGGTTGCTATACCTCTCCTGATGTGTTTGCTTTATATATTTGTTTTAGTTCCTGTGTCAATGGTCGGTGCACATCACCTGATGTGTGTACCTGTGACGGTTCCTACACCGGGGCGGCCTGTGATACCTCTCTGGTGGTGGTCACTGTCGTTCCTATCCTCTGTTTATCCATCGCCATTGTTGCTGCCGTTTTCTTTGTCAGATGGTTCCTCAAAAGGTTTGTTCAAGTGTTTACTTTTGATTTTGTCCATTATAACCCCCCCCCCCCCCCCCAAATATCCTAGATTCTCATCCTGATTTTTTAGCTCACCTGAGCCGAAGGCTCAAGTGAGCTTTTCTGATCAAAATTTTGTCTGTTGTCTGTCGTTGTAGTCGTTGTTGTTTTCGTTAACTTTTCACATTTTCATCTTCTCAAGAACCACTTGGCCAATTTCAACCAAACTTGCCACAAAGTATCCTTGGGTAAACGGGATTCAAGTTTGTTCAAATGAAGGGCCATCCCCTCTTCCAAGGGGAGATAATTATGAATTGGGAAAAAATTGGTGGCATCTTTTATAAATCTTCTTCTCAAGAACCACTGAGCCAGGAAAGATGAAACCCGTGTGGAATCATCCTCAGGTAGCAAAGATTCAAGTTTTTTCAAATCATGACACCTGGGGGTAGGGTGGGGCCACAATGGGGTATCAAATTTTAACATAGGAATGCATAGGAAAAGTCTTTAAAAATCTTCTTCTCCAGAACCACTGGGCCAGGAAAGATGAAACTCATGTGGAATCATCCTCAGGTAGCGAAGATTCAAGTTTATTCAAATTATGACCCCCCGGGTATAGGGTGGGGTCACAATGGGTAATCAAAGTTTAACAAAGGAATACATAGGAAAAATCTTTAAAAATCTTCTTCTCCAGAACCACTGGGCCAGGAAAGATGAAACTCATGTGGAATCATCCTCAAGTAGTGATGATTCAAGTTTGTTCAAATCATGACCCCCGGGGGTAGGGTGGGGCCACAATGGGATATCAAAGTTCAACATAAGAGTACATAGGAAAAATCTTTAAAAAATCTTCTCAAGATTCACTGGGCCAGGAAAGATGAAACTCATGCAGTAGCATTTTCTGAAAGGGAAGATTTAATTTGTTCAAGTCATGACCCCTTGGGCAAGGGTGTGGCCACAATGGGTGATCAATGTTTTACATAGGAGTGCATGGTAAAAATCGTTAAAATTCTTCACAAAGCCATCATGATAGTTGATCATCAATTTAAAAGCATAAAAAATGTAACGAAGATTTGAAAATTCAGGAGAATAGAAGAACTAAAAAGTGGACAAATGAATGTACAAAGGCTATATCAATAAAAATTTTCATCTTATAAACAACAAACCATAATGTGTCACAAAAGCATTCTAAGGAAGTGTAGATTTAAGTTTATTTAAATACCCCCTCCCCTCCCCAGAACCCATTTTTATGATGTATTTAAACTTTTCAATACTGAACTAATTTTTAGCTCTACTGGTCAGAGACCAGAAGAGCTTATGCGATAGTAATGTGTCCGAAATTGTGGTGTCCATCTGTCTATTTTTTATCCGTCTGTCTGTCTGTAAACAATTTTTCAAAATGCTACTCCTCCTACAGTTTTAGTCTGATTTCAATATAACTTGGCACACAAGTAGATTACAATAAGATACATAATTCTGTACATCGGTTTTTGATTTCGATGAACGGTGTTGCCATGGTTACTAAAAATAGAAATTTCTGTAAGATTCTTTCAAAATGCTACTCCTCCTACAGTTTTAGTCTGATTTCAATATAACTTGGCACACAAGTAGACTACACTAAGATACATAATTTTGTATATCGGTTTTTGATTTCGATGAACGGTGTTGCCGTGGTTACTAAAAATAGAAATTTCTGTGAAATTCTTTCAAAATGCTACTCCTTGTACAGTTTTAGTCTGATTTCAATATAACTTGGCACACAAGTGGACTACACTAAGATACACAATTCTGTGTATCGGTTTTTAATTTCGATGAACGGTGTTGCCGTGGTTACTAAAAATAGAAATTTCTGTGAAATTCTTTCAAAATGCTACTCCTTCTACAGTTTTAGTCTGATTTCAATATAAATTGGCACACAAGTAGACTATAATACAGTCTACGCGAAAGTTTAGAATTTTTACCGGACAAAATGTCTGGTAAAAATAAAATTTTTACCAGACCAGACAATTTTTTACCAGACCGACTTTTCCCTCCTTTAAATCCATACATCATTATGATACTGAGATTGAGAGGGTGTGTGAGATGGGGTTAATTCTCACTGTGAAATTTAACCTTAAGTAAATTCAGAGTGAAATAGACAAGTTAAATATTCATAATTTTCCTTTGTAAAAGGTATCTATTTATACAATTACATGTATTTTTTTTCTTCATATTTGACTTATACAACATACACTGTGTCAAAGATTTTCTTAGATTTAATATGCACTTTCAATGCATATTTAATTTTCCTGAAACAATTTATTATGGTTACTCAAGTTCAATGATCATTTGAAAATAATTCCCTAACCGAATCTACGTATGAGCTATCTAAATATTTTCCCAACCAATTCTACGTATGAGCTATCTAAAGATCTCTAATCTTTGACAGAGGAAATTCGAATTAGAATAAAAACGATCATGACAGGGTTGTAAAACATAAAAATTAATTAGGTATTACTGCTGAATTGGTCAAATAAAGGATATTTATGGGGAATTTGACCATGTGTATCTGTTAATTTAGATTTATTTGTCCTTATTTTCTATCGGACATTTGGTCCTGTATACTGAAATTTTTTACCGACCCGACCTAAATTTTACCGGTAAAAACCGACGGTCCGGTGACTTTCGCATAGACTGTAATAAGATACATAATTCTGTGTATCAGTTTTTGATTTCGATGAACGGTGTTCCTTGGTTACTAAAAATAGAAATTTCTGTGAAATTCTTTCAAAATGCTACTCCTTCTACAGTTTTAGTCTGATTTCAATATAACTTGGCACACAAGTAGACTACACTAAGATACATAATTCTGTGTATCGGTTTTTGATTTCGATGAACGGTGTTGCCGTGGTTACTAAAAATAGAAATTTCTGTGAAATTCTTTCAAAATGCTACTCCTCCTACAGTTTTAGTCTGATTTCAGTATAACTTGGCACACAAGTAGACTACACTAAGATACATAATTCTGTGTATCGGTTTTTGATTTCGATGAACGGTGTTGCCATGGTTACTAAAAATAGAAATTTCTGTGAAATTCTTTCAAAATGCTACTCCTTGTACAGTTTTAGTCTGATTTCAATATCACTTGGCACACAAGTAGACTACAATAAGATACATAATTCTGTGTATCCGTTTTTGATTTCGATGAACGGTGTTGCCGTGGTTACTAAAAATAGAAATTTCTGTGAAATTCTTTCAAAATGCTACTCCTTCTACAGTTTTAGTCTGATTTCAATATCACTTGGCACACAAGTAGACTACAATAAGATACATAATTCTATATATCAGTTTTTGATTTCGATGAACGGTGTTGCTGTGGTTACTAAAAATAGAAATTTCTGTGAAATTCTTTCAAAATGCTACTCCTACAGTTTTAGTCTGATTTCAGTATAACTTGGCAGACAAGTGGACTACACTAAGATTCATAATTCTGTGTATCGGTTTTTGATTTCGATGAACGGTGTTGCCGTGGTTACTAAAAATAGAAATTTCTGTGAAATTCTTTCAAAATGCTACTCCTTCTACAGTTTTAGTCTGATTTCAATATAACTTGGCACACAAGTAGACTACACTAAGATACATAATTCTGTGTATCGGTTTTTGATTTAGATGAACGGTGTTGCCATGGTTACTAAAAATAGAAATTTCTGTGAAATTCTTTCAAAATGCTACTCCAAATACAATTTTAGTCTGATTATAATATAAATGTGGCATGCAAGTAGACTGCACTAAGAACATAAAGAGACTTAATCAAGGATCATTATTCTATTTATTGCTGTTGAAAAGTTTCAATTTCCAACTGCTTAAAAGTACTTTTCTCTTCCTTTGCTATAAGTACAAACCAGTAGAGCTTCAGTCTCGACAGAGACTTCTGGTTACTTTTAGATAGCCAGTTGCTCCTGAAGGTGAGCGATGTGGCCCCTGGGCCTCTTGTTAAGAAATTGTGGTGCTCACATTATTTTCTATTTTTTATTTTCTTCTTTGCGCAGATATTTTTGTTGAATTTATCAATCGATACAGATTTTATACCAAAATAAAGCCATTGTAGAGCTCAATTTAATGTACATGTCTCTTGTTGAAATTTGGAATGTAGCTACTGCAAGATGGATGCGCGGGCCTGAGAAGCATACTTTAAATTTTATCGAGCCTAAAATATAAAGGCATTTTTTGGACTTAAGATGAAAGAAAAATAACCCTCAATTTTAAAGAACTACTTTTTTCAGGTCACTTGAGTAAACTCAGGTGACCTAATTCTATCCGTTTTCATCCGTCCTCCATTGTCTTCATGTGTTAACATTTGAACATTGAGGGGTGGGGCCAAAACCACTGAAATTAATGCAGTCTTTAAAAATCTTCTTCTTTACTTCAGGATATCAAGCAGTCAAACTGTTTGCCTGATAGTCCTTTATCAAAATTGTGAAATTCATGGCCCCAGGGTCAGGGGCTCTAGAGCTAAATAGATTATAAGTGAAAATGCAGTATTTCTTTGAAAATCTTGTAAATTCTCCTGGGTATTAAATAAATTAACCTAGTACATAGTTATGATGAGCAAGAATGTCTCTTCCAAAATTGTGAACTTCATGGCCCCTGGGTTGGGGTGGGGGGACTCTATTGATAATATAATTAAATTACATTAATTCTTTGAAAATCTTCTCTGCTCCTGGGTATTAAACAAACATGTCTCTTCCAAAATTGTGACCCCATGGTCAGGGGTTCTGGTGTTAGGGTGTGGCTCTATTGGTTATATAGTGAAAATGCATAAATTCTTTAAAAATCTTCTCCTCTGGTTCTGGGTATTAAACCAATGAACTATGTACATAGTTATGATAAGGAAGGATGCTTCTTCCAAATTTCATGGCCCCTTGGTCAGGGGTTCTGCTGTATGGGCAGGGCTCTAATTATTATAGAGTGAAAAGTGCATGAATTATTTGGAAATCTCTTCCTTTGCTCCTGGGTATTATGCCAATGATCTAATTGTATATTTTTGATGAAGAAAGGTGCCTCAAGGGGGGGGGGGGGGGGGTTAGTGGGGAAATTAGTCTGAAAATTAATTAATGCTTTGAAATCTGCTTTTTGGTATTAATCAGTTTATGATGAAATAAAATTTATGATAAAATTTTCAAATTTTGAAATACTGAAATATCATATTTTCATGGGGTCAAATTTTCGTTGTTTGAGGAAAAACTTGTGGTTCATGGGGATTTGATTTCGTAGATGAAGAAATGTTTGTAACATTATACATTTCGTTGTGGACATAAATTCATGGGTCTCTTCATACCTCGAAAACAACGAAAATAAAACCCCCACGAAAATTCGTGATTTCACTGTATGTGGCCTCAGGGTCATTGACGTGGTTCCTGTGGGTTGGGGTGCACAAATGGTGGTTATAAAGTGGAAATACATTTTCTCTTGGTTATTCTGATCTACCTGTGGGTATTAAGTAACCAAAGTAAGCATGTTAAGTGTATAATTATGATAAACAATGGTACCTCTTTCAAAATTATTAATTTCATGGCATTTGGAATGAAATAAAAACACGAACCAAATTCAATTGTTGGAAAGTTGTTACATGATACTCTGGTGACCTATAAGGCCACTGGGCCTCTTGTTTATATGTATATAAAAGTAAAAAGAGTATTAATGATATTTTTCATTTGAAGGTTTACAATTTTGTAGATGTTTGTTGCTACAGAAAGGTGTATTTTTTACAGACAGCATCTGAAGAATGCCTTACAGAACTTGGACTGGTTGGTCAAGTTTGATGAAGTGATGATAGGAGATGCCAGAGCTCTTAGTTTTGTGTCCACTGCTGGAGAAGACCTAGCAATATCAAATAAATCCAACATCTGTACTTGGAGAAGTCAAAAATGTTATATGCAGGTTAGATTTAAGAAATGTGGTGGTAAGAAGTGATTTGTTATACACTTGTCCCAGTCCATCTCTTAGATTTTGTTTGATTTCTAAAACACTGCAGTTTTTATATATAAGTAAAGTAATGGAGAGTGGATAGGGCAATTTCACATTTTAATCTTTATTCTTTTGTTTTCAGAAATTTAATTGTGATTCTCTGTCTGTGGAAAATGAAGACCTGCGATTTGAAGTTGTAAAATTGAAGGAAACACGGCACAATAACCTGATATTATTTGTGGGGGCCTGTCTGGATTTTCCTAATGTTTGCGTTCTGACTGAAGTAGCACCTAAAGTAAGATTTAATTGTTATACCAGAATGACCATGTTTGTCTGTAATGATAAACATGTGTACACATAATTAAATATCTTTTGATTTGTTAGGTCAGCATGCTCTGCTTTATTGACTTGTTAAGTCAGCATGCTCTGCTTTATTGACTTGTTAGGTCAGCATGCTCTGCTTTATTGACTTGTTAGGTCAGCATGCTCTGCTTTATTGACTTGTTAGGTCAGTATGCTCTGCTTTATTGACTTGTTAAGTCAGCATGCTCTGCTTTATTGACTTGTTAAGTCAGCATGCTCTGCTTCAGTGACTTGTTAAGTCAGCATGCTCTGCTTCAGAGACTTGTTAGGTCAACATTTCTGCTTCAGAGACTTGTTAGGTCAACATTCTCTGTTTCAGTGACTCGTAAGTTCAGCATTATCCTCTGCTTCAGTAACTGATAATGTCAGCATTATTCTCTGCTTCAGTGACTCACTAGGTCAGCATTATTCTCTACTACTGACCTAATGAGGTCAGCATTATTCTCTGCTAATGTGACTCAATAGGTCACTGCATTATTCTCTACTTCAGTGACTCATTAAGTTAGCATTATTTTCTGCTTCAGTGACTCATAAGCTCAGCATTATTTTCTGCTTCATTGACTCATAATGTCAGCATTATTCTGTGCTTCAGTGACTCATAATGTCAGCATTATTTTCTGCTTCAGTGACTCATTAGGTCAGCATTATTCTCTGCTTCATTGACTCATTAGGTCAGCATTATTCTCTGCTTCATTGACTCATTAGGTCAGCATTATTCTCTGCTTCATTGACTCATTAGGTCAGCATTTGGCAAGTATTTCCAACATGAGTTGATTCATCTTTGATCACACTTTCTTAGTTTGATGCTGTATTTTACTTAAATTTACTGTTATGAGACATGGAATGAAAGTTGTATAAAGGTGAATAGACTTCCTTATCTTCTGTCTTGCTGAGTGTATGTTTTACATCTTCATAGAACAGAGAGATAACAAGGTAGAGTTTTAACTGAGGACAGCTCTCTTTGTTTAATGAATAAGTTCCTCTCTTAAAATGTAACCTAAAATATTTTCTTAATTTCCCAAAGTTCAAGCTCAAACAGATCAGTTCTCTGCTGGCCCATTGTGAAGAAAAAATTTTAAGTGGTACCCTCTTAAATATAAAGGAGTCCTATAGTAAAAATCTTTTTAACCAGAATATTCCTATAAATGGAGATTAAAGGTAGATCAATGATATTTTGAAAATCGTGTATGAGATAATGAATGATGAGTTGCCTTTCATTACAGGGAAGTGTGGAGGATTTACTTCTGAATGATACTGTCAAACTTGGATGGGACTTCCGTTTTTCATTATTAAAAGATATATGTCGTGGAATGGAATTTTTACACCGCTCAGATATTGGATCACATGGGAGACTCAAGTCCTCAAACTGTGTGGTGGATAATAGATGGACCTGTAAAGTGACAGGTATCTGTGTTAGCTTGAGTTCAGTAGCTAAACCACCTATAATTAAATACCTATTATATCTATGTTAGCTCGAGTTCAGTAGCTAAACCTCCTATAATTAAATACATCTTATTGCACAAGGAAACAACACTGAATTTTATTGTTATTTTATTATATTACCTTATAAAATGTAATAAATAAAAAGGATAGTAAAAGTCTGTAGAATTTTAGAATTCTATATCTTAGGTTTTATTGAATGTTGAATTTGCATATTATGGATACTGCAGTGTTTTCCTTAAGAACCGGCTACCAGGCAAATTGACCACTTAAATTGACAAAAATACCGCTTTGAAATAAAATTTGTTGTAAAGTCCACAGAGACTCTGTTCATAAACCTCAACCCCTAGCCTGTCACAACTGATTTCTAATTCTTTATTTTGAAATAAAGGGAAAAACACTGATACTGGTATGTCCTGAAACATTTTGAATGCATGGCAATTGTAAACAAATCAAAGTATTCACTGCCTTAAGTCAGAATCCATGACTAAATAATGATTTGTTTCACTTCGTGAACTGTTTTGGATTGTTTTTTAAATACTTTTTTTGGAATTGTTTTTATTCATTGAATGATTTAAGGAATCACTGTCTAGTTAATATAGGCCCCGTGGGGATCCGGGTTAGAATAGGTCCTCAGTACCCCCTTGCTTGTCGTAAAAGGCGACTAAATGGGGCGGTCCTTCGGATGAGACCGTATAAACCGAGGCCCCGTGTCACAGCAGGTGTGGCACGATAAAGATGCCTCCCTGCTCAAAGGCCGTAAGTGCCGAGCATAGGCTTAAATTTGCAGCCCTTCACCGGCAATGGTGACGTCTCCATATCAGTGAAATATTCTGGAGAGGGACGTTAAACAGTATACAATCAATCAATCAATCATCTAGTTAATATAGTATGCCAGGGCATCAACGATAGTGGGAAACATGGGATAATTTGCATAACGGGGTTCGTCAAACACAAAGGCAGCCGCACGAGATATACATGCATATTTGGCCTCCGTAGCGTCAGACACAGAGACAGATGCGCACGAGATTTGCATGCATATTAGACCTCCCTAGCTCCTGAACTATCGACCTGCCTAATTTACATTCTGGTAGATTTATCAAAAAATCAACTCCGCTAACTTTCAAAGAGTTATCACAGAGAAAAAAAATTAGAAATGGAAATATTTATTGTTCTTTTGTTTAAACCAGGTTTTGGTCTACCAACTTTAAGATATGATGGTCCCAGGAAGTACTTTGGTGAAGTGCATGAACCAAAACTCAGGTATTGAAACAAGACCATTAAAATATATGGTAGAAGTTTGGTCTTAAAGCATTAGCTCATTATACATGTAATAAAAATCACTGATATAACATATAATTCCTAAATTTTTACATGCAAAAAGGAGTTTCTTGCTGTGGTCTTCAATTCAACACTTAGATACTAAAAAACTCTTCATCAACTAATAATTAATATTTATTTTCATCTTTATCTTGGTTTTGATTACTACTATGAACTCAAAATAAGTCTCTGTAGTTAGGTATTGAGGATTGTGTGATATTTTGCAGTAACTTGTTCTGGACGGCACCAGAGTTATTGGCTGGCTGTAAGACGCTGGATCAAGTGAGATGTGGAACCAAGGCAGGAGATGTGTACTCGTTAGTAAAACCTTTATAATACTATACTGCTTATACAGCTTAAGGAAAAGTTAAAAAAAAAAAACAGGAACTGTAAAGTTTGTTTAAAGAACACTAGAAATAATTGGAGTATAAACATGTTTGTACAGATTCGAACATCAATGTTTAAGTCATTTACTTGTCTAGTGAAAAACAAGCAAGCTTCTCCTACATCACTGTTCAATGAAGGGATATATGCTTGATTTTTTTTGGCTATTGTATATTCTAAGTTGTTTACCAGCAGATACAAATGTCTATTTTGGATTTTACAGTTTTGCCATAATCATGGCAGAAATGTGCACACGAGAAGAACCGTACACAAAGGAACTGGGCTACCTAGACCCTGATCAGATCCTCCAGCTGGTTCTAGATAAGGAATCTCAGGAGGCTGCCACAGCTAAAAAGGTATAAGTCAAAGTCTTATCAGTCAAGGTGCTGCCACAGCTAAAAAGGTATAAGTCAAAGTCTTATCAGTCAGGGTGCTGCCACAGCTAAAAAGGTAAAAGTCAAAGTCTTATCAGTCAGGGTCCTGCCACAGCTAAAAAGGTAAAAGTCAAAGTCTTATCAGTCAGGGTACTGCCACAGCTAAAAAGGTATAAGTCAAAGTCTTATATCAGTCAGGGTGCTGCCACAGCTAAAAAGGTATAAGTCAAAGTCTTATCAGTCAAGGTGCTGCCACAGCTAAAAAGGTATAAGTCAAAGTCTTATCAGTCAGGGTGCTGCCACAGCTAAAAAGGTAAAAGTCAAAGTCTTATCAGTCAGGGTACTGCCACAGCTAAAAAGGTAAAAGTCAAAGTCTTATCAGTCAGGGTACTGCCACAGCTAAAAAGGTATAAGTCAAAGTCTTATCAGTCAGGGTGCTGCCACAGCTAAAAAGGTATAAGTCAAAGTCTTATCAGTCAGGGTCTGCCACAGCTAAAAAGGTAAAAGTCAAAGTCTTATCAGTCAGGGTGCTGCCACAGCTAAAAAGGTATAAGTCAAAGTCTTATCAGTCATGGTGCTGCCCAACTAAAAAAGGCATAAGTCAAAGTCTTATCAGTCAGGGTCCTGCCACAGCTAAAAAGGTATAAGTCAAAGTCCTATCACTCAAGGTGCTGCCACAGCTAAAAAGGTAAAAGTCAAAGTCCTATCAGTCAGGGTCCTGCCACAGCTAAAAAGGTATAAGGGCAAGGATCAGCTATTTGTAAATAATAACGGCCGTCACAGTGAAAAAAATTGTGTCAATATTTTTACATTTTTTCTAACTAAATACATTTATATCTAAACCTTCTTTCATTAATTTAATAAGAAAAGATAGTTGCATTTTTATTTTTTAAGAAAATCGCATCCAAATATGGGTGATCAAAAAGTGATGGGCGTTATGTTGACACATATAATGTGAATTTTTAAGTTATTTCGCGTTGCAGAGAACCAAAAAAAGACCATCATATGCATGGACCTGACCACACTTTTACTTGGGACGAAGTAGACAAATTTCTATGACCTATCTGTAAAACTAATAAGGCACAATTAATTGTGACGGAGGTGACATCAATTTTTCCTACTATAGCATTTTCATCATTCGTTTTTCTGCACAGAAATCATGCAGACCTGCCAAGTGACCCGCATTCGGTGGGTCACACCCGCAAAATTGACCTCTCACCCCCCACTCATAATGACCCGCGGCGTGTCATTGTTTTCACCCGCAAAATCGATCATCCCAATTTTTTGACCCAATATTAATTAAGCATGTTTGTCTCAACAAGAAAGATCTGAAAACTCATCCTAAAATTTCCGATTTGTGTTTTATAAATCAGGATATGAACATCTTGTTTATTCAATGCACACAGATTAGTATCTTTGTTTGCCGAGGTGTTAAAAAAACTGTTAATTAGCCACAGGAAATCACTTCACGCTTGATCGCAGACTGACACAGCTGTACAGGTAATATGCCTGGAGCATTTAGGGGATTATACGTAACCATTTGAAGGGGTATATGCATGGTGAACCACACAGATTTAGAGGTTAATTAAATATCATTTTATTAAAAACAGAAATTAATTAATTAAATACAATGATATGATAAACATTGGGATCGTTTTTTAAAAACGAAAGTAAAAAAACGAAACTACAAAGCATAACTGATAACAGCTGATTTTATCAGGTCTCGTATATTGAAATTATTGTTAAGTGTAGTGGTTAAAAGAAAATGATATTAATTAAGATAAAGCAAAAGAGTCTAAAGTGAAGTATATTGAATTTCTCCCCCCCCTCCCAAAATGTAGTATTGTACGTTGTGTTTCTTTGTTAAATGGCTATGACAAGGGAATACCCACTTGTCAGTCACATCATGACTCTAACGATTTTAAGGTTTTTGTTTAGGGTGTTAGGCATCCTTCATAATTTATTTTGTAGTATTTGATTCATTTAATTTTTTTGTGTGTGTTTTAAAATTAATAATAGGAAATTAGATGGCACATATTTCTTACCACCACCCACTGCAGCAGCAATTTTTCAATATTAATCTTTCAATGTAATGTCTAATTACAATTTTCTGATTGTGTAATATGTTGAAAATTAATCATTGTAGAATCTAACAAATGTTTCCCAGAAACTTTTTAAATTTTTAAAACTTTGCAAAAATTCTATTGAACTAAAAGTATCTGAATCTTACTATCAATCTGAAAGTGTTCTTATACAAGCAATTTTAAGTAACCTGTCCTAAGTAAAAATTAAGTCTGCAATAAAATATAACATATACATGCATGTGTTTGACTGTTTGCATTGATGCCTAAAAATTAGGGAGCATTTTGTTACTCAAACCTCAACAAAAATGTCGCCGCGCGCTATGACCCAACATTTCAATTCTGAATGTTGGGTCATGACCCCCCACAGCATCAATTTTGGTTGGCAGGTCTGAATCATGTTTACCGTTAGTTTTTTTTTCATTAAATGAGGAAATAACACTAGTTTTTCATTAAAAAGTAGAACAGGATACATTAGTTCTTTCTTGAAGAATTTTTTATCCTGTATAATAAACGGATGTTATATTTGACAAATTGACAAACTAAAGTAAGGTAGTTACGGAGGTTACATTGACGACGCTTTTTAACGCATTTCTTAAGTTTTGTTAAGAATACACACGACTTTTAATACATGCAATGAAGTTAATTTGTCAAATACAACTCCATTTAAACATTCTTCTAATACTAATTAAAACTACTGAAAGTATTTCCATGAATTTTAAGCGCTGTGACGGATGTTACATTATAACATCCCTCACAGTTTTTCGTGGAAGGGATATTTTAACTCTCTACAGCTTTTTAATTTTTATTTAGTAATTTTATTATTTGTTCTTCATTAATATACAACTGAAGTTTACTAATAAAATTTTATCTTTAACAAAATAATAAGAAAAAAATCTTGTATCAGCACAGATTTAAATTTTGACAATGGTCAAATAATAACAGGCAATCAGCCAAGAAAATCCTAAGGAGCTGGTAGTATAGCATCTGAAAAGAAAATAAATGAGTTATACCTCTGCTAATTACCTTAAAATATAAACAAATACTCCAAATTTCATGATAATATTATCATACTGCGTAAAGAAGTTATTATTTGACCAGAAAAGGTGTCAACATGTCATATCCGTTTTCAATTTCTTGTCAACATGTAATAGCCAAATATTGTTAAGTTAATAATGTATGAAAACAGGAAAAAAATGCGACTTTAACAGATAAGTAATGGTAAATATTATATTTTCTTTCTATCTTACTGAAAAAAATATGTCCATAAAATTTCTACGTAACATAATCGAATCACTGTGCTTCAGCAGTTATGGTTTGACAATGTTATGTCAGTCAAAATTTAACTGCCGAACACCAAATGACCTCTATGATCGTAATAGTTCTAGAAAAATACTTAAACGTTTGTGTCAAACAATAACTATTATAGATTTTAACACATTGGAGAACATGGCTTGTCCATTTTATCACTAAATTTTATATGAATCTAATTCAGTAATAAGCGTGACGTCTGTTATCTAGTAAGAAGGTATTGACCGACACTACAAACTCAACCACTTTGCCTCCATTTTACGTATCACGGTCGCTTTTCATGACGTTTACTGCAAATGTGTGGTAAAACTAATAGAAAAAACCGAACTGATTCTATATTCCGCATTGTAAAAGCCATTTTACGACCCAAATTACGGACGTTACGAATTTGACCGACACCTGTGCACCTTTGATAAATGTGCGAAAATTTATTATTTCAATCCTTTTACACAAACGTTATTGAAAAGAATCCGTTGAGTATGCTTTAAAGTTAAAGCTAAATATAAAATATTCGTGTATTTTTAATACAGTTACATTAATTTCAATGTTTAAAGTTAAGGAAGGCCCATACTTTTACGGATCCGATTTTAATTTTACACATCAATATAAAATTTTGATTATCACTTGTCTATTGAAATAAAATCTTTTTGGGTGATTAAAAATTATTTAGCAAGTACATCTTTATTTATTATAGTGTTATTGTGCATACAAAGCATTTAATATACATTATTTAGGAAATTAACACTTTGCACTCTGTCCATAAGATCTATATGTCATTTGGTACATATACAGACAGAAAATTCTTAATTGCTTTAATGGACCTAAATCTTTTTAATTTTCTTTTTATCAAACTAACCTGAAATCTATTTTTATTGATTGTGATCCTATATCATCCATTTATTTTTTTTACTTTTTAAAAATTTTGCTAAGAATAATTGGAAAATATTGATATTCCAAAAATGGGGGTATACGTCTTCAAAAGACTGTTTTGTTAAATATCTCTGGTCAACCATAATAAAGTATTTGTTTTTATTTACTTTAGATATAATTCTTAATATTTTTAAAGAAAAAATGGCTTCTAAACAATTTAGATTTTGAGAATTATAAAAAATAAAGATATTTTGAGATTTTTTTCTGAAAGACATGGGCAGATTCAACGTCAATTTGTTAATGTTTTGCAGTAAAGATTTCAAATATTCTCTTGGCAAATGAATATTTTTGATCTTCATAAGTTTTAACATGAATTTGATGTGATTTGGTGCAGAACTAAATAAAATATGGTATCACACTTCTTTATATTCAATTTTGGCTGTTGAGTTTTTAGAGGTATGTGCTCTGAGACATGTTGTATGAAAATTAACCTGCAAAGATATGTCATTTATGGGTGTTTTAGTTAGTTTAAGACTTATTCAAGGTATTCAAATTAAAAAATAATCAGTTTGACAGAAAATTCTGAAAGTACAGACCTACCTTAACCCATCATGTTGACCGACACTCGCAACGTCCGTTATTCAATTTCAAAGCTATTTTTCTCGGGATAATGATAAGCAAATAGTAATTATTTTTATCTAGAATTGTAAGGTAAACATCCATCTTTTAAAATAGTTGTATATAAAAATGTGTTAATTAAAGGTATTTTTAAAAATTGCATTTTTGACACATAGGTTGGAAAATCTCTTATAAGCATGCGCAAAAGTTGGACAATTTTATACAAATTCGGTAATAATTATTTTATTTCTTAAAATAAAAAGATTTAATTGTTTATTGTTTCTCTTTCATATTACAAAATTATAAATACAACTTTATGAATCATAAAAAAATTATATTCTTGTTTATTTCAATTTCAAAAGTGACGGCCGTTATTATTTACAAATAGCTGATCCTTGCCCATAAGTCAAAGTCTTATCACACACTTAATGGTTTTACTTGCTTTAAAATATATAAATGTAACTGTTAAAGCAGTAGACATTGTTGTGTTATTTAAGGAATGAAGCTTAGTTTAACCTATGTTATATGATATAACATAAAATGAGGCAGTTTATGCTTTATAAACTATGAAGTGGTTTATAAAAAAGCGTAAACTGCTCCAAGTTATGTTATATTGTATAATATAGGGTAAAATAAGCTCCATTCCTTATAAGAACAAGGTACAGTTTCAATACAAATATTGCCCTGTGATTTGCTTAAATATGAAACAGATGTAAAAAATGAAAAGTCGTGCTTTCTGAATCATTGAAATTCCATGCAGAAAAATCATACAAATCATTTTTCTCACATCCATAACTAAGGCCATAATAAATAAATTGCTAGATTCTCATCCGAATTTTTTTAAAAATCGAGGCGGGCGGGCGGCTTTTATTTTATATTTTTTATTTTTTCAATTTTGCATATTTTTATTGACCTGCTGGTCAGTCGGTGTAATTTTATCTACAATACCCGAATAAAAGTCATAGTAAAGGTTCAATTATCTCTTACTTCACATCATCACAAATCTTTTTCAACCAATGACCCTTGTTTAAAATATATACGCATGTATTACAGCAATTATCATCTTTTCAGCTTTCAAAATCATGTCGACTTTCGCAGGATTTAAAACGAAAGTAGAATGGGAGATGAGAATTTAGACGAGGAAAAACAGAAATAAAAAAGATCGAGGCGGGGGTATAAAATCGGGGCGGGCGGGGATGAGAATCTAGGAATATTTTTATTATGGCCTAAATGTTAATTGCGATGTCGTAAAAATGTGCATTTTCCTGTATTTTCTTAAAAAGTTGCAGAAGACACCAATTTTCAATGGAATTTTCTTGATCCTTACATCGCAGGTTCGAATCCCACTGTGGGACGTGGAGACGGTCCTTCGGATGAGACCGTATAAACCAACGTCCCGTGTCGCAGTAGGTGCTGGCACGAAAAAGACCCCTCACTGCTCAATGGCCCTGAGTGCCGAGTATAGGCCAGATTTGTAGCTCTCCACCTGCGAGTGGTGGCGGCATCTGCATATAAGTGAAAAATTCTCTAGAGGGATGTTAAACAACAATCAATCAATGAAATTTTTCTTCAGATAAAATTGTCCACAAGCATCGCCCACAAAGATTTTTAAGATATAAGATTTTTAACTGAATTTTACAAAGTCAATCTATTGGACCGGATTGCAAGTGTTGCCCAAAGCTGTAGGCTGCAGGCAGCAGACAGTTTGCACTCCAATCCAACAGATCGACTGTTTCCTGAGACTCCTGTCAACAACTGTTTTGTTAAATTGTAATTTCCTTTCCCGAATGAAAAAATAACTCAGTTTAGCACCATTTGACGTCAAACGGGCAACAGTCTTTTTAGCTCACCTGAGCTGAAAGCTCAAGTGAGCTTTTCTGATCACATTTTGTCTGGCGTCCGTCTGTCTGTCCGTCTGTCTGTAAACTTTTCACATTTTCAACTTCTTCTCAAGAACCCCTGGGCCAATTTCAACCAAACTTGCCACAAAGCATCCTTGGGTGAAGGGGATTCAAGTTCGTTCAAATGAAGGGCCACGCCTGCATTCAAGGGGAGATAATTGGGAATTCATGAAAATTTGGTGGCATATTTTATAAAAATCTTCTTCTCAAGAACCACTGTGCCAGGAAAGATGAAACTTATGGGGAAACATCCTCAGGTAGTGTAGATTCAAATTTGTTCAAATCATTACCCCCGGGGGTAGGGCAGGGCCAAAATGGCTGACCTTAGTTTTACATAGAAATATATAGGAAAATTCTTTAAAAATCTTCTTCTCAAAAATGACAAAGCCATAATTCATCATATTTATATGGAAGCATGCTCAGGTAGTGTAGATTCAAGTTTGTTCATATCATGCCCCCCCGGGGGTAGGGCGGGGCCAAAATGGCCGACCAAAGTTTTACATAGAAATATATAGGAAAATTCTTTAAAAATCTTCTTCTCAAGAATGACAAAGGCATAATTAATCATATATTTATGGAAGCATGTTCAGGTAGTGTAGATTCAAGTTTGTTCAAATCATGACCCCCGGGGGTAGGGCGGGGCCAAAATGGCCGACCAAAGTTTTACATAGAAATATATAGGAAAATTCTTTAAAAATCTTCTTCTCAAGAATGACAAAGCCATAGTTGATCATATTTATATGGAAGCATGCTCAGGTAGTGTAGATTCAAGTTTGTTCATATCATGACCCCCCGGGGGTAGGTCGGTGCCATAATTGCCTACCAAAGTTTTACATAGAAATATACAGGAAAATTCTTTAAAAATCTTCTTCTCAAGAATGACAAAGGCATAATTCATCATATATCTATGGAAGCATGCTCAGGTAATGTAGTTTCAAGTTTGTTCAAATCATGACCCCCCGGGGTAAGGCGGGGCCAAAATGGCCGATCAAGTTTTACATAGAAATATATGGGTAAAATCTTTAAAAATCTTCTTCTCAAGAATGACAAAGCCATAATTCATCATATTTATATGGAAGCATGCTCAGGTAGTGTAGATTCAAGTTTGTTCAAATCATGACCCCCCCCCCCCCCAGGGGAGTAGGGCGGGGCCAAAATAGCCGACCAAGGTTTACATAGAAATATATAGGAAAATTCTTTAAAAATCTCAAGAATGACAAAGCCATAATTCATCATATTTATATGGAAGCATGCTCAGGTAGTGTAGATTCAAGTTTGTTCAAATCATGACCCCCCGGGGGTAGGGAGGGGCCAAAATGGCCGACCAAAGTTTTACATAGAAATATATAGGAAAATTCTTTAGAAATCATTTTCTAAAAAATAGCAAATCCGTGATTGGTCATGGGACTTCTTTTGGATTTAAACTTTACAATAAAAAGCCATCTTCTACTTTTTCCTACCCTTAGTGCTCAGGTGAGTGATGTGGCCCATGGGCCTCTTGTTTAGAAGTCTGTTTAACAGTTCCTGGACCAACAGTTGTGGAAAACAGTCAAACTGTTGGACGTTTTGAAAGTAACAACTTATATAGGGACTGTTTAGTAGGGGCTAAAGCAGTTGATATTGTTACTATTGTAGACCTGGTACAAGAATGGAGGAGATACGACCAAACATTTCCGACCTGACGTAGAAGACTGTTATCTCCCAGAGGAATATGCCGCCAGATCAGGCATGAGAAGGGTCAGCAAGATTTTTAGCTCGTCTGAGCCAAAGGCTCAAAGAGCTAATGCTATGGCCATTTATGCGGTGTGCGTTAACTTTTTAGAATATGGGCCATAACTCAAGAACCCCTTGGCCAATCAGTACCAAATTTGTCACAGGGTATCCTTGGCCCAAGGGCTACCATTTATACTAAAATAAGGGTTGGGACCCTAAAACAAGGGGAGATAATCAGGAAAACAAAACCAAAAGTACTGGTTGCTAAAAAATCTTCTTCTCCAGAACCACCAGGCAGATTTTCACCAAACTTACATACAAGGATCAGGATATGTTTAAGATTAAAAATTGTTCAAGGCATGACCCTGGGGCAAAGGGCGTGGTCTCAAGGTCACTTCAAAGTTGACCTAAATTTACAATTAATAAAAACGGGTATATTTTTCTTACTGTAAGGCCTAGAATCATCAAATCTTGTAAGTTGATGCATCTTAGGACTTCACATCATGTTAACTCAAAAGTAGGTCACGGTGACCTACTTTTCAAATTTTGCGGGGATTTGTTTTCAAATTGATTTGAAGGCATATTTTGGACACTTTAAGGCCTATGATCATCAAACTTTGTCAGTTGATGCATCTTGGGTCCTTGAACAATGTCAACTTAAAAGTAGGTCACTGTGACCTACTTTTTGAACTTTATGATTTATCCTTTTAAAAACATTAAATCCCATTATTTCAGACACTGGGAGGTTTAGAATCATCAAATCTTGTACTTTGATGCATCTAGGGACCTTAAAACATATTTATAACAAAGTAGGTCACTGTGACCTACTTTTTAAATTTTGCCGACATTTGTTTTCAAATTGTTTTAAATGCATATTTTGATTACCTTCAGACCTACGATCATCAAACTTGGTCAGTAGATGCATCTTGGGTCTTTGAAAAATGTCAACCAAAATGTAGGTCACGATGACCTACTTTCGACTTTTTATTGCTATATTTCAGTATCTTAGGCATTTATTGGCTTAGAATCATCAAACTTTGTGAGTGGATGCATATTTAGTTTTTGGAGAGTGACAACCAAAAAGTAGGTCATGGTGACCTACTTTTGACATTTTATGGCTTTATTTAAGTATCTCCGGTACTTATTGGCTTAGAATCATCAAACTTTGTGAGTTGATGCATCTTGGGTGACCTACTTTTGACATTTTGTGGCTATAATTTAGTATCTCTGGTACTTATTGACCTAAAATCATCAAACTTTGTCAGATGATGCATCTTGGGTTTTCGGAGAATGTTGACCAAAAAGTAGGTCACAGTGACCTACTTTTGAATATCTCAGGTACGTATTAGCTTAGAATCATCAAACTTTGTCAGTTTAGGCACCTTGGGTTTTCGGAGAACGTCGACCAAAAAGTAGGTCACTGTGACCTACTTTTGACATTTTTTGGCTATATTTGATTATATCTGGTACTCATTGGCTCGGAATCATCAAACTTTGTCAGTTGAGGCATCTTATGGTTTCATTGAATGTCCAACAAGAAGTAGGTCACGGTGACCTACTTTTGAATATCTCAGGTACTTATTGGCTTAGAATCAGCAAATTTTCTCAGTTTAGGCATCTTCGGTGTTTGGATAACGTCGTCCAAAAAGTAGGTCACCGTGACCTACTTTTGACATTTGATGGCTATATTTAATTATCTCTGGAACTAATTGGCTTAGAATTGTCAAACTTTGTTAGATGATGCATCTTGGGTTTTCAGAGAATGTTGACCAAAAAGTAGGTCATGGTGACCTACTTTTGAATATCTCAGGTACTTATTTAATTAGAATCATCTGTCTTTGTCAATTAATGTATCTTGAGTCCTCAGAAAATTCCAATCAAAAGGTAGGTCACTTTGACCTACTTATGGTATTTGATAATTATATTATAATATCTTCAGTCTTAACTGGCTAAATATTATCAAACTTTGTAAGTTGATGCATTTTGGGTCTTATGATACTAATAGAGTTGGAGGCTTCTAATAGAAGTGATAGATTGTACAATTTATCAGAAGAGCGATTCAAGGCCCTTGGGCCTCTTGTTATAAGATATATTCTTTAATATAAAAATGTACAGGCATTTTTTTAACCTTAAAATGATACTAGATTTTCACAAGTAAATTTTTTCTTTTTTTCCTTTTTTGTAGTTGTTTGCACAATGCTGGAACAATAGACCTGATATTAGACCAACATTTAGACAAACTCTAGATAGACTGAATGAAATTTACCCTGTCAAGGGGGAGTTGATAGACAATCTTGTCAACATGGTAAGTTGTGATAGACAATCTGGTCAACATGGTAAGTTGTGATAGACAATCTTGTCAACATGGTAAGTTGTGATAGACAATCTGGTCAACATGGTAAGTTGTGATAGACAATCTTGTCAACATGGTAAGTTGTGATAGACAATCTTGTCAACATGGTAAGTTGTGATAGACAATCTTGTCAACATGGTAAGTTGTGATAGACAATCTGGTCAACATGGTAAGTTGTGATAGACAATCTGGTCAACATGGTAAGTTGTGATAGACAATCTGGTCAACATCGTAAGTTGTGATAGACAATCTGGTCAACATGATAAGTTGTGATAGACAGTCTGGTCAACACGGTAAGTTGTGATAGACAATCTTTAATGATATGGAGCTCTTTTATTCTTGCAGCTGGAGAAGTACTCCAGTAATTTAGAAGCCATTGTGGCAGAGAGGACAAGAGAATTAGTGGCAGAGAAGGCCCGGACAGAGGAACTAATTAGTCAAATGTTACCCAAGAAAGTGGCTGAGGATCTCAAGCATGGCAAAACGGTGGAGCCCGAGGCTTTTGAATGTGTTACCATATACTTCAGGTAAACTTACTCTTATCACTCAGAAGGAAATAAGATGGAAACTGAAAGGAAATCTCTTCAGTTCTGCATTTACAGTTACTCTAGGCCAATATTTTTCAAATTTGTCACAGAGAATCCTAGGCAAGAGGGCTTTCATTTTTACTTACAATAGCCATGTTGCTTTTAAACAAGTTGAGATAACTATAAAAAAAAAAAGGTGTGGTTGCCACAATATCTTCTTCTCAAGAACCACATGACAGATTAATCATCAAACTTATCCTGTAGGATGTGGATATGTGGTAGATTAAAAATTGTTCAGATCATTATGGCTTGGCAAAGGCCTTGGTCTCGTGGTCACATCAAATTGACCTGAAATTATTTCTTGTATAAACTTTTACATTTTAGATTTTTATTTCAGTATTTAGTATATGATCAGAGGCTAACAATTATCAAATGTGATTTTAGACCTTTGGGTCTGTTATTTGTCATGAAACCTCCTATTGTTTGTTTTTGTCTATTAGTGATTTTAGGCCTTTGGGCCTGTTATTATACCCCTCGCAACAAGTTGCGTTAGGTATAATGTTTTTGACCCATCCGTCAGTCAGTCAGTGTGTCAGTCCATCAGTCCTGTTTTTAGCTCTACTGGTCAGAGACCAGAAGAGCTTATGCGATAGTAATGCGTCCGGCGTCCGTCCGTCTGTCTGTCTGTCCGTCTGTCTGTCTGTCTGTCTGTCCGTCTGTCTGTAAACAATTTTTCAAAACGCTACTCCTCCTACAATTTTAGTCTGATTTCAATATAACTTGGCACACAAGTAGACTACACTAAGATACATAGAATAGTGCATCGGTTTTTAATTTCAATGAACGGTGTTGCCATGGTTACTAGAAATAGAATTTCCTGTGAAATTCCTTAAAAACGCTACTCCTTCTACAGTTTTGGTCTGATATCAATATAACTTGGCACACAAGTAGACTACACTAAGAAACATAGAATAGTGCATCGGTTTTTAATTTCAATGAACGGTGTTGCCATGGTTACTAAAAATAGAATTTTCTGTGAAATTCCTTAAAAATGCTACTCCTTCTACAGTTTTGGTCTGATTTCAATATAACTTGGCACACAAGTAGACTACACTAAGAAACATAGAATAGTGCATCGGTTTTTAATTTCAACGTCTGTCTGTAAACAATTTTTCAAAACGCTACTCCTCCTACAATTTTAGTCTGATTTCAATATTACTTGGCACACAAGTAGACTACACTAAGAAACATAGAATAGTGCATCGGTTTTTAATTTCAATGAACGGTGTTGCCATGGTTACTAAAAATAGAATTTTCTGTGAAATTCCTTAAAAATGCTACTCCTTCTACAGTTTTGGTCTGATTTCAATATAACTTGGCACACAAGTAGACTACACTAAGAAACATAGAATAGTGCATCGGTTTTTAATTTCAATGAACGGTGTTGCCATGGTTACTATAAATAGAATTTTCTGTGAAATTCCTTTAAAACGCTACTCCTTCTACAGTTTTGGTCTGATTTCAATATAACTTGGCACACAAGTAGACTACACTAAGAAACATAGAATAGTGCATCGGTTTTTAATTTCAGTGAACGGTGTTGCCATGGTTACTAAAAATAGAATTTTCTGTGAAATTCCTTAAAAACGCTACTCCTTCTGCAGTTCTAGTTTGATTTCAAAATAAGTTGGCACACAAGTAGACTACACAAAGATACATAAAATAGTGCAATGGTTTTTGATAAGTACAAACCAGCAGAGCTACAGTCTCGACAGAGACTTCTGGTTTTGTTAGCGC